CTTAATCAGTCAAATCCTGTCTCATTCTGATAATTTGAAATCCATGTTCATATCATCCTATACAAAACTGTGATAAATTATATCTGTTATATTATGAGCGATGTTTGTCCTTTACGCTACAGAAATGTGGCACAACCAGTGTACCGCGAAATTTTATGAAAGAAATGGCATATTCGAATGCTATAGTTAGAAAACGGCAATATATAATCTTTCGTAATTAGAGTTTGTAATACACACGTTTTTTGTTTTCATGTGCGTAAAATCTTGTGGGGCAAAGATTTATATGTAGATGCTATATTTATGGCCATATACAGTTTCGTACCCTCCATTTCGTAAGATGAAATTTTGTGTTCTTGACAAATTAGAGTGTGAAAAAAGTCGAACATGTAAGAAACTTAAATCTCTTATATTTTTCAAGCAATTTGTAGAATATACGATCAAATTCTTAAAGCTTTATTACGAAACTTAACAGATTTCTGTGACATTTTAGTTAGTTTATAACTAAAATTTATTCAGTGGTTATAATCGTGTTTCATAGAACTTTACGCACGCCTGTTGTCCAATGGTTTTAGAAGGAAGTCCACAATAAGAAACGTAAGTAATGTGAATGTTTCCTCCTCGTTAAGAACGTTGCAATACGACATTGCTTTCCGTCTGTAGTTCTCTGAAATAATGAATAGATCGCAGTGCCTCTGAATCAGTACACTTTTATGATATTCTCCACAGCAGTGATCCCTATTCTTAGAAATGAAAATATAATTACTTTTTAATTAGCAGCTCTCCAAGTGTTCTGAAGTACAATAGAAACAGCAGTCGGCGCTGACTTCAAGTATAAAAATATCTCCATTTTCATACTATTTGTCCCTGTTCCTCTATGTTTATTTTCTTTCTATTCTACTTTGTCCTGTAACGCCAAGTTTTAGATTTAATTAATTTTCGCCCCTCCTAACTACAGCTGTGTCTCAATTTCCCCAGGATCTGTTCCTTCATCAGTTTTTTTTTTCGTACTTTACACCAACAGCTCATTATTTTAACAGAAACACCTCCCGTGAGTAAACGAAGTTAAAGTTACCTAGCGAGCCGGGGTAGCTCGGTCAGTATAGAAGCTGGATACCGGGGTTCGATTACCGGCAGGGACAAGGAATTATCCCTTTTCCACAGTATTTAAACCGACTTGGGGTTCCATTCGGCCTCATCCAACGGGTACCGGGGCTCTTGTTTCAGACATAAATTGGCCGGGGCATGAGCTGACCACTGTCCTCCTTTTCATGCCGGGGTTTAGAATGGGTGGAGCTTTATCTCCACTCCCCCGTTGCGTTATTTATTTGTGGTTTATTTAAGGACGCTGTCCTGCAGCGTCGAATGATAAGATGGTTGATAAACATTTATTTTTGAATAATAATGAAGCGATCGCGACATTATTTACAGCACAGTTCCGGCAGCTCACCGGAGGGTCCGAGGAATACCACCTAAAAAACCTGTCACTAATTCACTGAGTCAGTCAGTTATTTAGTGAGTGACTCAGTATGTTTTGTGTGTTGCAGTTTTATTCGCTGCTGGAGAACAGTGCCATAGCAAACAACACGCTGCAATACCGACAAGTGACCCTGTTCGCGCCTACAAACCGCGCGTTCCAGAAGTACAAAGGAAGCAAGGACGACCTAATCCTCTATCACATGAGTAAGTGACAAAGTTATGTTTCGTCATTGTTTTAGGGAGTGGAACAGTTTTGCTGCTTACAAATTTAATGTCGGAGCTATGTTAAGCTTTCGTGAGACGAGCAGATAAAATCCTGATTCCATGCGTAATGTTTTGAGTTATTTAACGATCTTGACATTTCAAGACAATGTAGGGATAGTGTAGTCTAGAGAAATGTTTAGAAATTCTTACATAATAAAACTTAATAATATTAGGGTGGTCAAATCAGAATGAGAGATTTGGGGTTCTCACGACAATAAAGATGACTTCGTTGTTCTGGGTTGTGACGCCGTGCAGACTCCAAGGCAGATGCCAGCGTTTCAGAGAAACTTTACGTATCCATCGCTGTCTCCAGCCCTGACGATGGAGACAGTATGTTTCTCCGAAATGTTGGCTTCTGCCTTCGAGCCTGCACGGCGTCACAACCCAGGATAACATTGTAAACTCAAGAATGATTTTGGTGGGATATGTAGCATGTAGCTGTTAGAACGCTGGCCTTGTAATCCTGGGGTCCCGGGTTCGATTCCCGGTGGTGCCCAAATTTATAACTTGTGTTGGGCAAGGCCGTGGTCCAGGTATCACGGAGTTTTCCTCCGGGACTTCCCCGGTTTCTCCGTGGCATCCCAACAGTTACTTCACATTCATCATCATTTACATACAGAAGAAGGCAATGGCAAACCACTTCTGAATCATCTGCCGAGTAAACGGACCTGTCGTCAGACAGAACACTAATAATAATAAATAATAATAATAATAATAATGTAGCATGTACAAGGGAATTTAAAAATGTTTACAGAATTGTGGTTGGAAAACCAGAAGAGAAGAGACCAGACCACATGTGAGACCTAGGCGCAGAACGAAAGATGATTTTAAAACGGATATTAAAGAATTTGGTTTGATGAAATGGACTGGATTCGGTTGCCTCAGGGGACAACATAATGGACTTTGAGGTTCTATAAAACGCAGGGAATTTATTTAACATGGGCGAAAATTTGGGTTTGTAAAGTACTCCGTAGTCCTACAGAGTTAGTACGACCAGACTGTAGTTTAGATTAACTCTTCAAAGCATTGTAACTATATGCACCACCTTCCTTAATGATCATTAAAACGCATTTTACCCACAGAGGGTATAATATCAGAACAAACAGCGATTATTTATGTAAACAGCATAAACCATTTGATCTCTGTAATGGAGGAGTGTTATGTTTCCTTTGAGGTTGGAATTGAACGTTAAAATATTATTTAGACGAGATTTGGCTTCAAAGAGTCAATTATTTTCCTGCAGTTTATTATTGCTTTATACTTGATTAATGATTATAAGATGGTCTTTAGTATGGTGAAGTCAATATTTGTTTGTGTACCTTTTCAAAATTTTCACTTCCCAGACAGATTTCCTTCTGGACGTTAAGAACTGCAGCCTACGACATTAAATGAGACGCAGTAAGATCTAGTATAAGCATGGGTATCACGTTCTCATCTTGTGAAAACTTCTGTTATATTTACAGTCAGCGACGTAAACTGCCCATGGGCTTGGGCACTGAAGGATTAGGCTGCCTTAAAAAATAATTTTATTTTTAAATTACAAGACTTAAGAGATATACAGTAACAATGATGATCGATATTCATAATAAGTTAAATGGATATCGACATGTACAGTGATGGTTTTGAACACGTAATGACTACAACGAAAATCACCTTGTGACTAATCGATTTGTATCGAATGTCAGTATGATATTTTGCAAGTTCCATCTAAGCCACTGAATTCTATGAATGTCGACGTTGGAAATTATGTGGTTGTATTATGCAGTGAAGTAGTAGGGAAATTAACGAAGGGTGACCTACAAAATTTCCCTATTTAATTCTGACCTGGCATGCTAGTTGTGGAGGTTCGAAGGGGAAACTGTTAATGATGTACCATTCTGTCGGGATTATATAGTTCTCATCCCGTAGTTCTGTTTTGAGCATCAAATATAAATTATTCATAGAGTTATCGTTCAACTGCCTAATTATACCATTGCGCTGGATCACTTGCTGGCGCTCTGGCAAAATAATGTCATACCGCGCCAGGCCCCATGAAGTCCATTAACGTCTTGATTGGTGACCAGAAAATTGATATTTGAAACAGAAGTTTGAACTGTAATAAATAAAATAGTAACCACGCCATCGCTGATTCACACTATGGAGTGGAATTCTAGAGAAGCCGATGGTTCTCAGCCATTCAAAATTTGCCACCCACCTTTTGGAGAACCCAAAGGTTCATTACTGTTTGGACAGTAACCCGTCACTGGACCCTGTCATGAGTCAGATACTACATTTAGTTAACGTTCTCTCACATTCTGTGTCTGTAAGATAGGTACTGATATTAATCTACAGTGTACGCTTAGATCTGTTTGCTCTCTTCTGATTTTCCGACTGAAATTTTGTATGCATTTCTCATCTTTCCCTTGCTTACAACATATCCCACCCAGTAACCAATGTGCTGTAGGATCTGAGTTTTTCACGGCGGTGAGTCTTCTGGGTTGTAGCCCCGAGTAATCTGTTAGTTTACCGAAGGTTTAGGAGGTCCTTGCTACCACCATCATCAAGGCGACCTAATGATGGAAGCAGAACGTACCTCTACAACATCGGTAGACATCTACGTGACTGCGGGATCTTCATACTATACTCTGCGAGAACATGAAATTTTACAAATAAATGGAACTTCTAAATCATGGCTACAATCCTTTTTCTAGTATTTCCTGTTTTTTCGAATGAAGCTACCGGAACAAAGATTGTGTCATAATTTCTGAGCGTACTGTGTTCGCGCGCGTCTGTGTATCCAGTTCAGCAATTCCAGAAATGCAGAATGCTATGGCAGACAGGCTTAATAAAGTGGAGCCTTGACCTCTGTGTACATGTTGGCTGGCAGATGGATGTTCTGCTCTCAACGAAGTGAAGTAAATGGTTACCACATTTAACTATCTCGTAGCAGATTTCAATGTTGCCATTGTGTGACTACAAAAGAACCTTATCACTTTAATCATGCTCGTTACAATACGCCTATCAGTCGTGACTACCAACTCTCGTCACACGTCTAATGTTGCGCTGTGGAACCAAACGAATTTGGTGTTTTGGAATCTTTGTTGGGGCAGTGTTTGAATGACTGTCCAAACACGCCCATGTGGGTGGGATTTAACGTGTCTCGCCTATGTTTCAGATCTCGAGTAAGGTTTTTTATTCATCAGATATGGAAATTAATCGATGTTTCAGGTTTTTACGGCGACGAGTATGAAAATGATTGTCTTCTTCGACGTTGCGCGGTGTAGTTTCGTAGAAATTTACTGACGTTTCAGAGGTGGCAGCAAGTACCTCTTCAACGTCATAACATCCCAGGAATACAGTCTTCTTTAGCAATGCAAATGTTATGAATGCCACGTGAAACAATACTTACAGTACTTATAGTAGCCTGCTGTGAATATATATGTTGGAAAATTATATGAAATCATGGAAACTACAGTGAATCCTCATGTGTAATTTCCACAAACAATAACTGTTTATTGTAACAAATTTGTGTTGAAGGAATTCGTGTTTCTTAATGGTTCATGATCATTGTGCACGTGTGTGTGTGTTCACACACACACGTGCACATACGGAACGGTACCAATTGCCAAGTGGTTAAAACTTCGAAGTGACTTGTCACACGTCTGTACACATAATGGATTGACCTGTTTCAAGTGCGTCAATAGTACACATTATGGTCTGTCACTCTGAGGGAGATTGAGGGAGATTGCAGATGACTGAGAAAAGGGTGTTGAGGAGGATATTTGTGCCTAGGAAAGAACTGGTTGGGGTATGGAGAAAACTGCAAACTGATGAGCTTAAATATTTGTACTCGTCCCCCAGTATTGTCAGGGTGATTAAGTCGAGAAGAATGGGATGGGCAGGGCATGTAGCGCGCATGGATGGGGGCAAGAGGTGTGTACCGGGTACTGGTTGGGAAACCTGAGGGGAAGAGACCGCTGGGGAGACCTAGACGTAGATGGGAGGATAATCTCAGGTGGGATCTATGGGAGATAGGAGTTAAAGGAAACTGGATTTTGTTGGCCCAGGACAGGGTCTGGTGGAGAGCTTTGGTTAATTCGGTGATGAACCTTCGGGTTCGGTAAGCCATCTAGTTAGTTAGTTAGTTAGTTAGTAGTACACATTGTTTTGTAATTGTGTACACCACAGAAAAGTGTCTAAATCTTAATTGATGTATTTCTCAGCTAATTTGGCAAAACCACTGGACCAATTGGATGGCTCTGTCTCATCAGAACTTGAGGGGAATCCTCCAATCTGGATAACACGAATCAAGGGCCGATATAGGGACGACCTGTATGCGAACAATGCACAGATCTTACAGGACCGCTCTAACTACATCCAGATGAATCATCAGCAGAAACAGCAAGTTCTGCATGTAATCGACAAGGTGCTGGTGCCTGTTAGATCCGCCAACAAGGACACTACACAGATATACAATCCTGATGCCTTCCATTTTCTTAACCAATCAGAGAACCTTGATGTTGGAGACCACAGACTCAGGTATGTGATTTATGTGCTTTCATCTTCTGAGTTCATTAAAGCCTCGTATGAATTTGATAATTTCTTACGGAGTTTAGCAAATGCCAAAGAAATGTCGAAAATAGGTCAGTGGTACGCTTTTGTAGTGAAGGTTATGAATCTTATTTCATGACAAGTGATTTTCTGGAGTAGCTGCATAACAGTTGAATGAGCAAGAATGACAGTGGCTGATTCTGGTTGGTAGAAAAAATAAAACAATTAAAAGAGCTGATCCATGTATGTGTGCTTGATATGTCATTACTGTTCTGATGTCGGTGATAATAACAGATGTTTGTTTCAGGTCATTCCGACAGCGTGTGTACCAGAACAACAAAGGAAATGTGTTCCTGTCAGAGGGAAAACATACCTTTTTCATTCCTGTGGATGAAGGCTTTAAGGTATCACATATATTGAACAACATCGTGAATAAAATATCATTCTCCTTTTTCTCGATTTTTTGTTGGATTACAGAATTTTTCTAGATGTTCATTATCATGACTTCATGTATACAAAGGCAATGAAATAATATTCAAATAAATTTATAGAGACAACTACTTATCTGAAAGTAGTAGGCAGTTTAAGGATTCACGGTGTCTGTCTTACTTTTAATCTGGATCTGGATCCTATCTGTGCATTGCAGATTAGATCAATTTTAATGTTCCATGTTGACAGAACATGATATAGTTTCGTATTATTTTATTTGTGATATGTCAATAAATATTATATTGTATTTGCGTTGTTCATAGCCTACTCCCCGACCTGAAAAAATTGACCAGAAAGTTATTGATGGCCATGTAATTCCAAACCACGCTCTTTTCACGGATGCAACTCCCAAAGACAAAGACTATGAAACGTTGGCGTTTGGTGATAACGTTCGGGTGACCATCTCATTCTCGACCCAGTCTAATGGAAAGGCTTCTTCGTGTAAGTATTTCCGAGTTATCTCAGGTAACTTTTCATTGTTTGTATTACTTTTCCATCAGCAGTAAAAATGTACTATTTTAAAAAGTTTACCATTACCATTTAACCTGGTTGGTAATATTGGTTACTGCCCATCATGGCGACATCAGGGTTTGGTAAAAGTGAGTATTCAGAAAGGGAATTTGGAGGAATATCCTATAAGTTAATATTTTCAGACAGACCTTTCAAACCAAACATCGGAGTCATAAACAACCATTCGTGTTATTTCTAAAAAGCCTTTAAGTTGTGTGTGATGTTTATTTTTTATGGGAATTCACACATGCAAGATAAAATACATTTCATATGATACAGGGCATGTACTTACCAAAAGAAGGATATCTGTAACTATTCCACATGATACAGGGCATGTACTTACCAAAAGGATTCTGTAACTATTCCACAAAAATGTATGAATACAAACCTAAAGGAAAACGAGGCAAAGGCCGCCCACAAAAACGTCGGAATGACCAATTTTAACTCGAACAGGAAATTCCTCAGAGACTAAACCATGGAGATGGTGATGATGATGATGAGGATTTTTTTAATTAATTGTTCTGCAGATACAGATGATGAATTAATGTGACATATTGGAAATTAAAAAGAGTAATAGTGTCGTTTTCTAGAACATACTCTGTAAAAGAAGCGTGGTTATTTTGTCAACAGATTATGTGAAGAGCAACACAATAGTGGGGGATCCTAACCATACAGAAGGAGTTGTACTGGCTGAGATTGTGAAAGCAAATATCCCCGTGAGGAACGGAGTCGTGCATCTCATCAATCGACCTCTTATGGTTGTGGACACGACAGTCAAGCAGTTCTTAGAAGTAAGTGTACTAAACGCTGAGTCTGTCTCGGTACCGTCACTTTCTAACTCTCTCTTGAATCTGTTTGTTGAGTTAAATCACAGCGACTTCAGCATGCTGTTAGCTATATTTAGGTGGAAGAAAATGGTTCCTGTAGTTTGCACAGCACTAAATTGCAAAATATTTCAGAACAATCATAAAAGTCAACAAGACTGTAATTGGCAACTCCTGATAGTACAGAAGTGGTAACATGACTACATGCAAGGATCGAGTTATAGTTCTTTCATTTGAAACTGGAGAATCCCTCTGAGTTACATTCTACAAAAACAGAAACTGCATCTGTCCAAATCAAACTTATGGGGGTTCTTATAAACTTGGAAAAGTAGCTTCCAGTTTACCTGTCCCGAAATATATAACATTGGCCCATTTGATACTATCTTAGCTAGAAAGTGAAGGTTGTTATTGGGAATATATATTTATGTATATGGGCGACTGTTTAAAAAAAGAAACAGTTTGAATCAAAAGTGAATAACAGACTTGTGGACGAACATCTGTAAAGTGACTTACACATTGTCATATGGTATTATGGAATTTAAGTTACCAACACGTGATGTTGCTGGTTGGAATTTAACTCTGAAGGATGTGGTTAATTGTTGTAGTTTGCTACTGCAATGCTCGGTGATTTCCAACGTGGCCCATGATCCGCAGAGATTATGTACCCTGGGATATTATTTACTACACATGTTATACTTGTTAACAGCAATTGTCTGTCAAGTTTGATTATAATATATTTCTTTGACTTAAACTTCTTACATGATTTACTGAACTGTCATACTTGTCAACATTGTGTCAGTCTCAGATCTGAACAGCGGCAAACAAATTTTACACTTCAAATATTACATGCGTTTCAAAATATGCAGTAGAACGATTTCTATTTTTGTAATGTACCTCTTTCTGATGGAGTTTTCTGAATTATTTCTGTATTTTCATTCCATATATACTACTGCAAAACTTCGGCCCACATTTTGCTTCAAAATATTGCTTGTGATGATGTCCATGTCGAGTATTGATTGTTGTGATGGTGTCCTTAAAGAAAATGTATATTTTTCCCCCTTATGATGATGCATCAGAATTACATGTGTTGTTTTATAAACATTCTTTTATGCATCATATTAGGACAATCTATTTCGGCGCCCTTGATAATGAACAGATTTTTTTATTGTATGCCATTGAAGAGATATCACCGAGCCAAGAAAATTCCTAAAATAGAATTAATGTTATGTCAAGCAGAATCTATCATATCAGCCCTTCTCAATTGTACGAACTCTTCTTCCACTTAGATAGAACTGACAAGCTGTTGAATGTTGGATTTTTCAAAAAGAAGAGAGAACACAATGTTTTAGTTGACTTGAGAGAGGAATGGAACCTGAAAATCAAATAAGAGCACATGGACACATTCATTTACTCAGAATATATGTTACAAGTTCTGTCCATATAATATTACATTCAGTACAGTTACATTATAGTCAACATGTGCATACAGCTTACAGTAAAATACAAGGATGCTAGAGATGGGATGAGTATTTATTAACAATTGTGATATTCAGTTCTTTGCACATGATGAATATGTGCAATATTTTTAACAAAAAGTGTTTCTTTGAATAATATTAACTTGAACTTCCAGCACGAGTAATGGCAAAAGTCTAAGCTAATCACATTTGATTTAGCGTAACATTATAATTTTGAAATAGTGATTATTTTTTTTTACAAATTATTTAGTGGTCTCTCTGCATGGGATTGAGAATTTAATGCAATGTCCAAATGTGTAATATTTTATACTGCAATAATATCCACCATCTTTCTGACCTCCACTTATTTACAGGATGAAAACATGGAGTTTATTATTGTAGTATGTTGGTTTCTTTTCATTCATAATTCCATTGTGTGGACAAACACTATGATGCCTTTTGATAGAGGACAATAAAAATATTGTCCATAATAACAGAAGACAGTGTTTATAGGTGCAATGTAAATTATTTGAAAAAAGTTTGATTTTCGTGAATACCTACCTCTTTGTATTTCTTGAAGTGATTAATTTGACATTAATATTATCTTTTATTTTTACAAAAATGAGATATAAAGTGCTTCTTCTTATATTTTAACAGTAACTGCTAAATTTTTGGATTAGACTGAAAACCAGCAAGATGTTTGTCATAACTAAAGCCAATGGAAATGAAAATCATAAATAAATCCAAAAATAATTAAACCGAATTAACTGAATTGCACATATTCTTGCAAGAAGAGAAGGCATTCCATCCCTAGCAAATTCTCACTTATAGCACAACATGAATTATATTCATTGAGACTATTTCATGCACAGACAACTAATTATGATTCTTCTTACTTGACTTTCTTTTCATAATACTTCGTCTTCTGCAGTCATTCAAGGTAAACCACTTTTTCCACGTTTTTACAGCATCTTTATATAACATTACAATATAGTTGCTCCTCATATTATTAACACTACTAATACAATGCTTGAAATTAATATATATTGTATGTTTCTTATTCTTACTCTTATTATTATCACTTATTATTATTATTATTATTATTGAAATGTTGGCTGCTGGGATTAGTGTCAGTGGACTGAGACGTGACTAACTCGTGTACTTTTCAGCTACAGTTGGTATAAATGTGTTGTTATGGCATGTTCTTGTGGATTGTGTTTGAAAGTTAATTTCTGCACCCTAGCAGTAAACAGGCAGAAAGCAACTTGACAGCAATGGATCTGGCTGACTATCCCCTATCCTCCACATACATGCCTCAAGGTGGTAACATCTTATGCCTGTGTGATATTTCTGAAGTCAATTAATATTTTAACAGAAAAATATAATGATCATGTTAGGTATTGCATTTATTTATTAAAAATGTCTATTTTTTGTAACTAATTAGATACTTGGTGGTTTGTAAACAAATAATCTGTGAAAAGATAATTATCATATTCTAATCTTTTGTTCTTAGCAATCAGCAGCTAATACTACTGAATAATTTTCTAGTCTCTTATTAAATAATTGATCAATGTATGTACCAAGATACAAAAGTAATAATATGGTGAAATGTAATGAAGATTCTTTGAACCATGTCTATTTCCGAAGCACTCCTTTTAACTCTGAGTGTTTGGAATTGTTTCAGACATGATCATTCTGACATACTGGGCTTCATGCCCAATTTATAAGATTTGTGTAGCCACTGCACCAATCTGTCAGATTATGTATGCTCTGTGATCGTTTAAAAACTCTGAGTGAAACCTTTATGGAACTTAAACTTGACATGTAATCATAAATTTATTAAAAATTACAGAATTTAGTGACTCATTTTAGTACCACAGTTAATTGAAAGAAGAGGACATTTCAGAGACTAACTTGAAGTGTTTGTAATGTATAATTTGAAATTTGCTTTAGAGAATAATCAGAGTCTGATTGAGATTTCTTATTATGTTATTGAAACTCCAAATTAAATGTTTGTATCTGGTGGAGTAAAGTAAGTACCTTTTTTAGTCATATGTTAAGTGACTCATGCATCTTGCCTCTTATAATTTCATGTTACTAATATGTATGCCTTTTTAGTGAAAGGAGTAAGATTTATAAGTGGCACATTTAAACAATTTTTTCTTAATTTAATAATTTTATATTAAACCAGCATTGTCGATTGGTTATTAATGAAGA